TTTAATTCATTTGATTCCATCAAATGGGTAAAAATTCAGAGGTAGTTAAACTATCTCGGAGTTCACCTGCGACCGGTCAGTTCGAAGATGATATCTCAAGGTGGTCGCCCTTAACAAAAAGGGGAAACTGCGCGGGAGTCAGAAAAAGGAGTTATAATTGCACTATGGTAGAGTAAGGTAGAGTAGAGGAGAGGAGAGTAGAGTAGAGTAAAGTAGAGTTGAGTAGAGTAGAGTATAGTAGAGTAACGTAGAGTAGAGTAGAGTAGAGTAGAGTAGAGTAGAGTAGAGGAGAGTAATGTGGAGTAGTGTAAAGTAGAGTGGCCGAAATACAGTTTCGAATCGCAGTTCGGGCAATGTATACAGCCCAGCTTTCTGGCCAGGTGGGGTGCCCGAGGTGCAATTGCGAACTGTCTCTTGCCCCATAGTGCAATTATAACTCTTTTTTTGTGACACTACTGCAGTTACCCCATAGTACTTATAAAGTGAAAAACAAACATGTCAATGGTTCTGGGCCTCGCGGCGCTGCTGGCAAACTGTGGAAATTGGCGAGAGACTGATCTCAAAGATGGGGCGAAGATGCAGGCATCCGAGATAATAAATTGTGGCCTTCATCCTCGTCTCCTCAGGACAACCATGGGTGATGGCTCCCTGTAATCACCGTGTGCCTTGTAACTGGTCTCCACAACACACTGGACTTTATATAGAAAAAGAAAAAGAAGAAAAAAACAAAGTGGCGGACGAATCTTTCCAGCTTCTATGTGAAGATGCAGGGAAGGCTCTCAGTCTACAGCTTGTTAGTTGCAAGGGGTGCTTAAGGCCCCCTTATAAGGGGTTGTGCGCCAGCGCCACCAGATGCTTGACGATGATAAGGTTAGCGCTTCGTCTCACCTCATCGTCGCTCTCGGGAAGGTTTTCTGTATTCTCCCATCGATCATTGATTTTTGGGGCTTTCTGTGCGGAAATTAACAGGGTTTTTTTTTTTTTTTTTTTTTTTTTTTTCCCTTGTCATGCTTGTGCAGGGGCCATGCTAATCTTCTCTGTATCATTGAGAGAAGAATGCAGCTTACTTTTTTGATAAGAAGAAGATGGGGGGGAGAAAACAAAAAACTTTCTCTGTAATATCTAAACGGATGTCCCGAAAGGACAATTTAACAAAATATCCCTTTTTCCCAGAACCGCTGTTTCCCGTTTTGCCGACGTTCGAATCATGACGGAATCAGATGCATACAATAATGTCAGGAGCGACCCCGCGATACAGAAAATCATATTAACAATAATAAAATTTTTCTGCTTGCCAATCTGCCTGATCACCCACTATGCTGGATATGAAG